GACTCGATGGAATGTATCTGCCTTTTTCCTGTGACCGATGTCGGTAAGTGATGCTGATATTCGATTTATTGAAAACAAATTACTCATTTCAATACCTATTCTAGATCTCTCCTCGTCAAAAAAGTCGACTCCGATACTTCCACCGTTAGCTTCGCCTGCACTGCTTGCACTGCTTCCCTTCCTTTAAAAACGATCTCGGAACGATATGCAAACTTCCAAGCAATTTCCAAATCTATCTCCGAAACTTTGGATGTCTCTCATCGTAATCCTCTGAAGAATATACAGGATACTGAGAAAGCACTGGATAAGCTGCAATCGATGCTCTTTGTCAACGGCTATGAAAGTGGTCACATTTCCCAACAATTCGCTTTGCAGTTTACAGGTCTGACCATCTACTACTGTCATTACAGCCTATCTGATGCGAATCGCCTAGTGGAGCGTATGTTGCCCTCTCTTGAAAAGGCTGCCGCCGTTGATGGCTTTGACATTTTCGACCACCACTACTACATGTTCCCCCTGGTGAACATGATGTGGAACACGGTCAAAAAGCTACTGGAGGAAAAGGAAGAAGCAAAGGTGAAACCTCTATCTGGAAAGAAAAAGAAGGAAATGATTGCCATCTTGCGCCAGTGGCCCAGACGAGTGGACCGTTTGCTGGCGCTCATGGACTTTTTTGCAATTCAAATTTCACTGGGACCTTTTTCCATTACAAGCAATGACCTCTTTTATCTCAAAACTCAACAGTTTAAAGAGATAAAGGTTGAGATAGAAGAGGGGTTGAAGAAAAAATAAGGAAAAACTTAAAATGATCAGTTGAAGTAATTTTTATTCCAGTAATTATTCCAGTAATATAATTTTTTATGGCAACTACACATTCAAATTTTTATTTTGTAAGTTTTATAAAGTTTTACAAAAAATAAAAGTTTTGAACAAAACCGTCATCATCTGTTGCACCTGCAGCCACCTGTGACAATCTGCGCTAACAGACAAACACACACATTTTGTAAGTAATAAACAAAAAGGACAAAAATCAAGCACAGTTTTTGCTCCAGCTCAGTGACTAGTTTGAAGTAAAACCAAAAACAATGTAATCCAGCCAATTATCCTTCTCTACCCTGCGCTGACAAACTACGAGATCGATTTGCCCTTCACTTGCGCTGCGACAGCGGCGAAAAACAGGAAATGAGAAAAGTGAACAGCGGACATTCTGCCACAGTCCAGCTACTGCTTGCCAATAGAAGACTTGGAAAGCTGAACAGACTTTTTGCAGACGAAGGTGGCAAATTTGAAGAGTGATCGGGTAAACAGTTGACTTGAATAATCTCTAAGCTCTTCAGCGAATGAATGCGGCCAATGGCAGCTAGACAACTGCTGACCACCGCTGGGTCATCGCACATGAACCGAATACTCAGCTTCTCCAGTCCCTGCATCTCCGCCAGTCTTTCCACTTGTCTGCAGAGAAGTCCCTGAAGGTGCAACTCTCTGACCTCTTTCCCTGCTTCCTTGAGAATGTGTTCAATGGGAATGGAAGCTGTTGAGGTGATGCCAGTGCTACTTCTGACCTTAAGTCTGGGGCCCACTCTGAGCACCCTCAGTCCGTGGGGCAGGTCTCTGAGAGGGCGTGCTTCAGCCAGTCGATTGCCGCTCAGGTCGAGGTAGAGCAGAGTTTTGAATCCGCCCACAACAATGGCCAGCTGATCGTCGTCAAGGTCGCAGTCAGACAGGGTCAACTGGGTGAGTTGATTTCCGAAGTGATCGATCAGTCTCTTCCATCCCTTCACCGTCACGTTCAAGAAGTCTTTCTCAACGTAAAGACGACTTTGACCTGAAACAGTCAAAAATTAAACCTAAAATTCTTCAAAAACCCCCTCTGACTTACCTAGTCCTACACAACCAAAAAATTGCAATCGAGTGAGTCGTGGACAGGCGGTGGTCAGCTGATGANTCCCTTCACCGTCACGTTCAAGAAGTCTTTCTCAACGTAAAGACGACTTTGACCTGAAACAGTCAAAAATTAAACCTAAAATTCTTCAAAAACCCCCTCTGACTTACCTAGTCCTACACAACCAAAAAATTGCAATCGAGTGAGTCGTGGACAGGCGGTGGTCAGCTGATGAAACAGGTGGTCATTCCAGTGTTCTATGCCTTCAAATGTGATCGACTGCACATTGGGAAAGCGACTTAACATTTGACAAAAGCAGTGATAACGAATGTACGGATGCGGCCAAAAAATTACACTTTTATGGCTACTATCAATTGAATACTCTTGATCGAAAGTTCCTCTTGATGCCGAGTTCTTCTCCAATCGCCTGTCGCCGACTGCCACAATAGCCAGAGTCTTCTGCGTCCTCGCGAGCACATCAACAGCGACTGACCAGTTGAGGCAGACTGCCCGACAGGACTCCCGTTCTCGAATGGGCAAATGAGAGAGCAATTGCACGAGGCAGTCTATGTTCTCGAGCATGATTTTTGCCCAGAGTAAAAGAAGAAAAACACAAAGTTTCAGTTTACTGACACCCAAATCTCAGCCAAGCATTTCAATCACTCACTCTCTAAAAGTGTTTGCGGATGTTTTTAAGGCTGACTTCAGCTTGAGGTAAAGTCAGACGACAAAAAGAGTGTACAGGCGACTGCACAGCAGGTGGTGTTGCCGCAGTGTTGCTTGCAGTTGTACGGCTTAAGACGGTGTTCTGAGAACTGCTGTTACACTAGTAATTAGCACTCGGTGAAAGTTAGTGCGCCCACTTTAGGAAAACAGGCTTATCAAACAAATTATCTCAAATTCTTGATCATATGCCTTTATGTCCATTATTCACACCTCTTTTCACAGGCAAAGGACTTTTCAGTGGAATTAAGGAAAATAAATTGCTCAAAACTGATTAAAATCTTCCTACTTTAGCAGTAAATGTTTTTGATATTTTATAACTTAAACATACTTAATTGGTTAAATCATCGATTGAAACGGACTGAGTGAGTCAGTTCAGTGAAAGAAAAATAAGTGCATCTTATACGATTTTAAAATCAGCTCTTCTACGACATTTTCAGTTCATACTATTTGAAGTGGCAAAGAAAGTGCGACAATTACGTCGACATCACCTTCTGCACTTGGGCAGATTTTAAACAGTTTGAAGCTACTCTCTTTAAATGTGATTCGAGTATTTTTGTAGTTATTTGAGCAACTTTTTTTCTTTCAGTACATACAACTGATTTGCACTGATTTGTCATTTTTGATAAATTGCACCAGAGTTAAGTGCGTCTAAGCACCAGCGTTAAAGACGAAGCAAATAAATTATCTACCTTTTCTTTTAAAGTGTGCAATGGTACGACCAGATTAGCATAAATCAGAAAAGAACCTAGGTAAAAATACATTGACCACCGTCAACATTACCACTAACCTTGAATTATCCTCTTCTCGGTGATTTTCGGTGTTGATTGAAAATTTACATATGGTCATTTCGAACGTACATTCATTTTAGGTGCAAATTTAAATTATAAAGCGATTAAGATGAGCGATAAAAATAGAATTGGCTGAGTGCAAAAAAATTAGTTAATTGCAGTATTCATAAATATGTAATTGCACAGTTGAGAAGGCAGCCAGTAAGATGTTTTAATTAATTTTTGTATTTTTGTATTTTTTTAAACGATGTTTTTGGCACGTAGGCAATCATGTGAGCCCAAGCAGTGGCCATATTAGAATTAGCTAAATAGTTCGATGTTTGATTATTAAACTAAAAACAAAATTGAATTTGCACATTAAAACCATGCCATCTCATTCGCATTCTCAGAAAAGTGGCCGCAGTCACTCTAAACTCAAACACCGAAAGGCCAGTCAGAAAGGTTATAGAGGCAGTGGACGTCAGGCTCACTCAAATGGTGGCACAGTGGCCTACCTCAGTCGAGCCCTCCGAAAGGGCATCCTGGTGTTCGCCCTGCCGAGAAAATGGAACTGACGCTAACAGTACAATTGGTCCCGACAGAAAAGTAGGCCTCGTCTTTTGGGAGGAGTTCTCCGGCGCCGTCACCTCCACCGGTTTTCCTGCGCCGAGCCACGACCAGCACACCGCCTTCGTCCACCGCCTCCCAACAGGGCTGATCACCAGAGACAAAGTGGAGGCAGCCATGTTCCTTGCGCAGATTATCCTCGAGTCGGGCGGCCTGCAGTACAAGCGGGAGCTCGCCTGCATCCAGACCGTCTGTCCTGGCGTCTACGACAGCTCGGTGGGTGCCCCAGGGCAGAACTACTACGGTCGTGGGTACATTCAGCTGACGCAAACAACTACAAAGCGGCATCCCTTGCCTTGTACGGAGACATGCGACTGATCAGCGACGCCGACATGGTCGCCCGAGATGAGGACGTCGCCTGGGCGACTGCCTTCTGGTACTGGAAGGAGCACGTTCACAAGCGGTCTGGTGAGCGGCAGCACCACTTCGGTGACGCCACCAAGGCCATCCAATGGAATGGAGTGCGCTAGGGCGGGGATGCCGGCGGCACACAAGCGATTCGAGTGCTACCAAAAGGTGATGGAGGCCTTTCACAACAGCGAAACACCCAATGAAAAGGACTGCTACAACTGATGGTGTTGATGATGGTGGGAAAACCAGAGACAACCCACACACACGTCGCAAATAAACTGCAGCATCGCCTGGGCACGTGCTTTCCTCTTGAGACACATCACCCACTTATCGATTAATTAAACGACTCACCTTACTCAATAGGTCAGATAAGCAAACAATACCAACAAAAAACTTCTCAATCGAGTGGAACAGTGCGTGATCAGTAAATGGTAAAAGTACTAGTGAGTAAGCATTCCCATGCAGTCTCTGCAATCAGAAAGATTGACTTGCGTACACCTTAACACGCCGCAAATCAACAGGATCACCGCCTCGATCCGGGAGAGCACCCTGCGGCTGACTATTTAACCGAGGTCAGAGGCGCCTTCACAGACACTACGAGCACCAGTTTGGCTGCAAAAACAGACAACGTAGAAGAAATACACACAATGGCAAAGCTCTTCCTCGCAGTGGCCCTCCTGATGGCAGGCTGCATGGCCGCAAACGCCGGTAAGTAGTTGTGTGCAAAGCTGTCAGGCAATATCAAACACTAATGTCCAACTTTCACTAGCTCTCGTCTCCTGGCAGGAGTTTTCCAGCGCCGTCACCTCCAGCGGCTACCCACAGCCGCGACAGGACCAGTACAACGCCTTCGCCAACCGTCTCTCCACGGGCCTTATTTCCAACAAAGTGGAAGCGGCAATGTTCCTCTCGCAGATTCTCTGGGAGTCAGGTGGCCTGCGATACAAACGAGAGCTGATCTGCATCAAGACCGGCTGCCCCGGCGTGTACGACCACTCGGTGGGTGCTCCCGGCAAGAACTACTACGGAAGAGGGTACATCCAGTTGACACATTCCTACAATTACAAAGCAGCATCACTTGATCTCTACCACGATCTGCGACTGATCACCAACCCCGACATGGTCGCCGACAATGAGGACTGCGCCTGGGCGACCGCCTTCTGGTTCTGGAAGATCAACGTCCACAACCGTGCTGGTGTGCAGCAGCACCACTTTGGCGATGCGACCCGTGCCATCAACGGCATGGAGTGCTCGGGCATGCCGGCCGCCCGAAAGCGCTTCCAGATTTACCAGCACGTCATGCGGGCCTTCCACATCAACGAGGCGCCAAATGAGCACGGCTGCTACAACTAAAGTACTGCGAATAGGCATGGTAGAAAACAACACCAACTGATCAATCAATCCACTAAAAAAACCAATTAGTGAAACTCCTCTCTAAAACTTTAAGAACAAATAAATAGTACTAGTTTATCAAAAAGTAACCTAATATAGAAATTAATTAATAAAAAACATTAAAAATCCGTATCATTTTCTTTTATCAACATACATCCTTAACTATGATTTGAGAAACAGTTGAGAGCAGTAGGACTGTATACATCTGTATCAATTCTATAAATGCATAGAGCAGTCGGTCATATAACGGACGGTAGCAGTACTTTAAAATTAACTAAACAGGCAGACATTCCTATCAGCTGGCACAAGTCTGGTGGAATCGCTATGAACACAACCTTTCACTTCCAACCAGTCCAGTAGTCAAAAACGACTAAAAATATGGCTAAATTCTTCTGCGGTACTTGCTCTTGTTGTTTGCAGCCTAAACGCAAATGGTATGCAACCCCCGTCTCCTAGAAGCTCACCTACTCCGTCATGTCTAGCTATTTGGTCGCTTGTGATGAAGATGCTTCATGAGGTAAGAACACAACAAGAGACCACAAAAACTAGAGACTAAAATAAAATCTACCCCTTTTTAGGCACTGTTTTCTGATTTTGGAAAGTGCACGCATCTACAACCGAACTCGGTTGCGACCACTTTGCTGATGCCACTCAAGCCATCAACGGGATAAAGTGCACCGGTCATATGCCAGCAGCACATGTGATTTGATATCAACAGAAAGGTAGGCAACCCAATTCAACAGATAGCATTTGATACAAATGGCCTAAAATTACTTCACACGCACAGGTTCTGGTGGCACTCCAAAGCATTTATAAGAGAGCAAATGGCTCTGGCTGTTGGTAATTTTTGACTGTTGTGCTACACAACAGCAAGCAAGCAATGAAAATAAACAAACTGACGTCAGAAAGATAAATAAAAGTCGGCTACGACTCTACGCTACTCTAACAATTCAACTGTGCAAGAAGAATAATAACAAAGTAGGAAAACGGTGCTCTACTTACCCATTAACGAGAGTGCTCGGTGCTCCTGCCGTTGTGTCGAGGTTCTATACAGTGATTGTACGGTCGACCAGTGTTCTGTTGCCTTGGTGAACTTGTCGATAAGACTGGTAGTGGTGGGAGCCAACTGCTGGCGATGGTAGCTGTGCTGGTGACGCAACTCCGGGTAAATCGAAGTGAATGAGCATTCATTCGTTCGCCAACAAAACCAGCTAGGAGAGAAAGGGAGAGGGAGAAAGTGAGTAAGAGACAAAAATAGAAAACAGCGGCATTTCTAAACAATCCAAGAGCAGTGCCCGTGTTCCTTTGTAAGCGGCGGTCGGCGACACACTGAACCCTTTTGTTCACCTTGACCGCTAATTTTTTTTCTAGCGCAATTTTTTTAGGAAAAAAGCGCGGTCAGTTTTTGTCAGGTAGAAATAGACGCTTTTGTCTGTCGTTTGCTCAAAACTCTTAATCTTGATTTGCAGAATCCATCAAAATTATTCTGTCGTTTCCTTCTCTTCTTCGAGGATCAACACTTCATCAATCAGGAGCAGTGGTAGTGGTGGTGGTGCTGCTGGCCTCCAGACTGACCTTGAAACGAAGCGGCAACGCTCGCATCTTTTCCCTCACAAGAGGCGCTTTCGTTTACTTTTCGCACCACGCTGCTGCCGTCGCCGTTCTTTACTTGTTCTCGTTTCCTGCACATTTTTCGATTTCACTTCGTTTCGTAGTGCCATAAAACTCGACCATCAAACCGCTCTTTCTCCCGCTTTCTCCCACGGCATGCATCAAATTCTCCCCGCTAATCCAAGAAGACTGCATTTCTGCCTTTCCTTTCCGTCTTCTCAATTTTCTGCGGTGCCTCATAAACTAGTGTGTGTGTATGTGTTTGGTAACGTTTCATCGACGTTTCTGGTAAGGACTGACTGTTTGCCGGTAAGTGGTGGTTGTGCTGGTGTGGACGAGTGGCTGACATCACACTCTCTCACTCTTTCCCTACCAGGTGATTCCAACGTAACGTAAATGAACGCAGAGCACTGCCATCCACGTCCTGAACACCTTCCTCAGCTGTGCCTCTAGCACTTGCACCTTGTTTCGCCTTCCTCTTGGATCGTACCGCCAGTATCGTAATCAGCCGCCTCTCTATGGTTATGGTACTCTGCTTGTACTCTGCGATAGAATGCGGCGGTGTGGTAGATAGTGCCACTCTGTCCCCCTCTCACTGTGTCAATGTTACAAGCAGCTGATGATGATGATGATAGCATAAACACAGTCGTGGTTCATTGCCAGCTGTACTACTAGCAGAGACAGAAGACAAAGAAGTAGAGGAAGAAGAGGAGGAAGACTACCACCACCACCACCAGCAAACATCGACTGACCACACAAACAGACAGACACTCTGCCCGGCTTTATATTGACCAAACCGGCGGAGACGCTGCTCACTTCTGCTGATTACATCCTTCCCTTCGAACGTTCAAAGCAAACAGTGACAAAGTGCATCAACAAAAAAACCAAGAGTTGGACGAAAGTGCATCCACTTTGATTAGCCTAGCTGTTCATCGACTTCTCGTGCCGAGGACATGGGCGCCGGCGGGAGTAAGGATGGAGAGAAGAAGCAGAAGAAGACAAAGTCCTCAAAGGAGGAAGAGGTGAAGAACGGCAAATTAGTCAAGTACGTTGCTGTGTTCGATGTTTGATGTTTTTTGTGCTGCCTACTTTCGACCACCTCCCACCACTTTCTCACCGCTCTTTTCACCTCTTTTAGAAACGAAAAGGGCGAAGAAGTTGCCAAGGATGGTGAAGTGGAAGGAGGTGACGATGAGAAGAAGAAAAAGGAAGAGGAGCTGCCTCCGGTGGGATTCCTCTCTCTTGTAAGTTCTCTCTTTTGTTTAAATTTGTTTCTTTCACAAATTTTACACACGCATTGCACACGACACACCGTACATGCTGCTAATCAGATAATCCCTAACCATAGTGACAACATCACTCCATTGCCTGCGCATACACCTCTACAGCGACATGTGTAGAGGCTTTTTAGCGGAGGTCACAAGTGAACCACAGGCACCTAAAACTGGTTGTGATTTGTAGTCTAGGCGATTAACACCGCCGGACAGCATGACCAACTAATTAAATCACCCGACCTTGGCAGTCTTAACGGTGCACTACAACAGGCGCCGACAACGACGACACTTGTCGCTGTCGTTCATAGGTGATAGATAGATGTGATAATAAAGACATCCGAATTTAGAGAAAGTGATAGAGATGCTATCCTCCTTAGAGCTAATGTTAAGCAGGAGTGTGTGTGTGTGTGTGTGCAATAGGACAAAATTCTTACAGTCGACAGGTCCACAATGCTTTTTTGGATGATTGTACCTCTTTTATTACCTGCCGCTCCAACAGCCGATAAGATTACTGTCTGATTTGCCGGTGATATATCAACCAGGGGAAGCAGTGTGTCAGCAGGTGTACTCACTCTTGAGGGGCTATTGCGTGGGGAAATGTGTAACGCCGGTGCAGTCTAGGGTCGATTCTTGCATCATCATCATCTTTTCACCCCTTTTCTAGTTCGGCTACGCCTCCAAATGGGACAAGACACTGCTGGGCATTGGCTCGATCTTTGCCATCATCATGGGCAGCGGCTTCCCCGTGCTGGTGATCCTCATGGGCAAAGTCACCGACACCTTCATCGAGTACCAGACGATCCATTACATGGCCATTTCTCCTATTCCTTCTTATGAGGTCCGAAACGCCTTCTACACATCCAGTATTAAGCCGCTGTTGGGGAAGGGCAATGACAGCGCAGTCATGGAGCAGATGACTGACTTTTACAAGCCCTACAGCGATGCTATCAATAAAACGGAAATCCTTCCTGAGAACATGCGCCACCGACTGGGCTACTCAGTGCCTCATTTCGTTCAAATCTTCGCTGACGGCGTTTTTCAAAACGGGTCGCTCTACGTGGAGAACTTCAAGACCGACTCTGGCATGTGGTGCCTTTACATGGCACTAACGACGCTGGGCTTTGTTATCTGCAACTACTTTACTGTCACTACCTTTGCCCAGGCGGCGAAGAACCAGGTGTATCAGATCAAGCTGCTCTTCTTCCGCTCGGTCATTCACCAGGACATTGCCTACTTTGACACGAAGACCAGTGGCGACTTTGCCAGCAAAATCACCGGCGATCTGGACATCATTCAGGAGGGCATCGGCGACAAGGTCGGCCTCACCATTCTCTCCTTTGCCTCGGTGCTCTACTCCATTGGCGTCGCCTTCTTCTACGGCTGGGAGCTGACGCTCGTCTGCGCCTCGGTCATGCCCGTCATGGGAATCGCCTTTATGATCATTGGAAAGGTGAAATGGGAGAAAGAGGAGAAGTTACTTTTGTAAATCACTAAAACACTTCATTTTTCATGTAGATCCAAGCCAAGTATTCGGTGAGCGAGTCCTCCGCCTACAGCAAGGCGGGCGCCATTNGGAGGGCATCGGCGACAAGGTCGGCCTCACCATTCTCTCCTTTGCCTCGGTGCTCTACTCCATTGGCGTCGCCTTCTTCTACGGCTGGGAGCTGACGCTCGTCTGCGCCTCGGTCATGCCCGTCATGGGAATCGCCTTTATGATCATTGGAAAGGTGAAATGGGAGAAAGAGGAGAAGTTACTTTTGTAAATCACTAAAACACTTCATTTTTCATGTAGATCCAAGCCAAGTATTCGGTGAGCGAGTCCTCCGCCTACAGCAAGGCGGGCGCCATTGCCGAGGAGGTGATCAAGCTGGTGCGCACCGTGTACGCCTTTGGCGGGCAGGAGAAGGAGTTGAAGCGGTACTACGAGAACATCGAGCCGGCTCGCAAGTCAGGCATCAAGCGGTCGATGTTCACCGNGAGAAAGAGGAGAAGTTACTTTTGTAAATCACTAAAACACTTCATTTTTCCTGTAGATCCAAGCCAAGTATTCGGTGAGCGAGTCCTCCGCCTACAGCAAGGCGGGCGCCATTGCCGAGGAGGTGATCAAGCTGGTGCGCACCGTGTACGCCTTTGGCGGGCAGGAGAAGGAGTTGAAGCGGTACTACGAGAACATCGAGCCGGCTCGCAAGTCAGGCATCAAGCGGTCGATGTTCACCGCCGCCAGCATGGGCATCATGTGGTTCAGCATCTACGCCAGCTATGGACTCTCCTTCTGGTACGGCGTCAAACTAATCATCCGCTCCAATGAGAACTTCGATGCGGCCCGCTACCAGGCGTCCACCATGTTGATCATCTTTTTCAACGTCCTCATGGGCACGTTCAGCGTCGGACAGACGTCGCCCTACTTTGAGGCGATTGCCCGCGCCCGGGGAGCTGCCGCTCTCATCTTCAAGATCATCAATCAGAAGCCGGTGATTGACTCGCTGTCGTCGGAGGGAGAGAAGATCACCGACATCAAGGGGTCCGTAGTTTTTAATGACGTCCACTTTAAATATCCCTCTCGGCCGGACATTCCCATTCTGAAGGGGCTGCACTTGGAGGCTCAACCCGGTCAGACCATCGCCCTCGTCGGTTCGAGTGGTTGTGGGTAAGTGGAAGAACTGTTTTAAAGGTTTTTATGTTATATTGATCACCCCTTTTATCTCCTCAGCAAATCGACCGTTGTCCAGTTGATTCAGCGTTTCTACGACCCCGAGTCGGGCGAGGTGCTCGTCGACGGGCGGAATGTGAAGGAGCTGAACGTTGGCTCGCTTCGTGACCTGATCGGCGTCGTCGGCCAGGAGCCAGTTCTCTTTGGCTACTCCATCATGGAGAACATCAAACTGGGCAATCCACAGGCGAGCGATGAGGCGGCGATACAGGCGGCAAAGGACGCCAATGCCTACGATTTTATTCAGAAACTGCCAAAGAAGTTTGAGACGCTTGTCGGTGAGGGCGGCTCGCAGATGAGCGGCGGACAGAAACAGCGGTAAGTTGGGGGTCATGTTTTTTGAGAAGATGACAAAACCTTAATCTGCTCTTTTCTTCTCTCTAGAATTGCCATTGCCCGAGCTCTGGTCCGCAAGCCAAAGATCCTCTTGCTAGACGAGTCAACTTCTGCGCTGGACTCCGAGTCAGAGTCGATTGTCCAGGCGGCTCTGGACCGAGCCTCCGTCGGTCGGACCACCTTCGTCGTCGCCCACCGACTCTCAACGATAAAAAATGCCGACAAGATAGTGGTGATTGATGCAGGTCGCGTCAAGGAGATGGGCACGCACAATGAGCTAGTTGAAGCGAAGGGCGTCTACTACAACATGGCACGACTGCAGCAGCAGGACAAGGCCACCGACGAGGGTGGCGAACACCACCACCATCAACAACAGCGCGAGCTAGTGAAGCGAGCAGAGTCGAGGAAGTCCATTAACTCGGTCTCCAAGCTGGAGATTGTCCGCATCGACGGAAAAATTGAGGAGAAGGAGGGCAAGGGCTCTCTTTCCCTGCGCCGTCTCTTTGCCCTCGTCCGCCCTGACATTTGGCTGATTGTGATTGCCACCGTCTGCAGCTTCATCGTCGGCCTCTCCATTCCGCTTTACTCCTTCATCTTCGGGGAGATTATCGGCAT